ATTATAACATCGACTGAGATAAATAATAAAATGAAATATTAAAATCACGATATATATCGCTGCATTGTGCGAGTACGCTTTTAGTATATATATATATATATATATTGTTATGTTCAACTCGTATGTAAATAGAATTATACATATTAATTTCATATATGTAAATAAGTTCTTAAATATATTGATTATATATATTCATTAATTATTATATGAATAAAAAATTAAAGTCATGTAAAATAAAAGAAATAAACAAATCAAAGTGTAACTAACAAAAATGAATAGTTTAATACATAAGTTAACACGTTATCATCTTGAGTATCTGACATCGATGATGAATCTACAATATTCAAATACATCTTCTTGGTTCCATAATCCATTATCTGGTTACATAAAGGTCCCATTGTGGCTTCCTCATTTGAAGCAAACAATCCATATTGAGGTTCCATAAACGTAGCCGTTAAAGCAAACATACCATCTCCTGGTTCCATAACCCTAGAATCGAAACTTTTCTAAAAAAAATAACCCAGAAAATTGAACCGGTTCATTGAAGATATTATTGGAGATTTGGTTTTCGAATCAATCTCTCACATAAACTTCGTTTACGACATCTGAAGGTTCCATTAAACGTTGATTATCAACAAAACGATTTTGCTCACAACTCTGAAGAACACTAATAAACAACACGATACGTTGAAGGTTTAGAATCTGCTCAACTACTAGATTAAAGAAAAACTCGGACAATAGCAACATGGCACTTACAAAATATGGAAATACATGATATCAATCCCCAAAAAAGGCTTCATTATTTTTGGTAATTATCTAAATAAATTGCTCTACCAAATTTACCCTTTTTTTCTATTTTATAAAACATAAAAAAACCAAAAAAAAAAAAATGTATGTTTAGGATTAGGTTGCATCGGTTGTATGAATTAGAAAGGTTGTATTTGAACAACACCATATATATATATATATAATTTTCTTATGTTTGACAAACTAATTGATGGCTTGTAAGTTAGATGTTGACTGATAAGATGGCTTGTAAGTTAGATGTTGATTGATAAGCTAGATGATGAACAAATTATGTTTGACAACAAATAACTGATAAGAATTTAAAATGATCTGATAGGACATCTTAAAAAATTGATCAATTATAATATTTTAAAATATAATTAAAACAAATCCTTAATAATATAATATATTAACTAATACAAACAATATGGTAAAAAAATTAAAAATATAATATATTGATTAAAA